TTTGCACGTTTTGTCATGTTTACGACCACAGAAATAGGTTTATGTATTTCTTATGTAGAAATAGTCAAAAGTACAACATGGTTAAATACGTTGTAAGTAATCTTTATTTATATACCGCCTTTTCACTGCAGATCTGAGTCTCAAAGCGGTTTACAATTGTTAATTTTGGGCACTTGTCCTCTCACTCCAGACAGAGATGGGAGCGGGGTCGCCAGTACAGGAGGCACATGCCAGAACTATTGGACATATTTTTAGTGGTAGGGGAAACCGGAGTACCCAGAGGAAACCTACGCAGACACGGGGAGAACATGCAAACTCCACTCAGAAAGACCCTGGTCCGACCGGGATTCGAACCCAGGACCTTCGAGGTTGTGGAACCCCCTATTGCTGCAATCAGAGAGGAAAGTGTTGTGGGGTAAGACTGTAAGCTGCACATCCAGAGCAGGGGTCTTCAATCTTTTTTTCCCCAAGAAAAATCCTTTAAAACATCCAGTTGGAAAAATAGTATTAACAATAGCTCATCAATGAATTAACTATCAACTGTCATTATTTCTCATGTATTACAAAGTTAATATTCACTTGTATTGTGATTAGAGCTGCAACTAACGATTATTTTGTAATCGATTAATCTATCGATTATTTTTTACGATTAATCGAGTAATCGCTTGGCTGTGAATTGTGTAGAAAAAACTTATTTTTTTATCACAAAAAGCTAAAGTGGCAACACTCGAGGACGTATTGATGGCGTAAACTTAAAGTAAATGTTTGTAACAGGCTCTTTGTGCTAATTCTGCTATCTGATTGGATGAGACAGAGAGATATTCATGAAATTATAAAAACAAAGTCGGTTTTAATCAAAAATACTACATTTTCATGTCATTTTTGCTCTGTTTGAGTCCGTGTGAACCAGAAAACGATTAATCGATTACTAAAATAGTTGTTGACTATTTCAATAATCGATTAGTCGTCGATTAATCGATTAGTTGTTTCAGCCCTACAGTAGGTCCCATTCCGTTTTGTCGTCTTCATTCACGCTTCTCGGGAATCACGCAGCTGCGTGAAAAATAGTACATCTTATCGCCACAAGGTGGCAGGCTAAGTCCGCTTTAGCTCTGCCAGCGACTTAGACGCTCAGGTATAAGACTGCGTGCAAACCTGTCTAGCCCACAGGTGCTATGTTGGCCAAATGGATAACATTAGAGACTGGGACCTGGAGAACCCAAGTTCGATTCTTGTCTGAGGCACATCTTTTGGTTGCTTGTGGCAAAATTGTTTTTTCATTAAACAATTATTATATAACATCTTGTCTTTAATGTCTGAAAAAATCGAGGTGAAAGGTTGAGGTTTCTATCGAGGTTTCTATTGAATGCTATTTCTTTCTTTATAATCTTTATCTTTATAATACGAATTGCATTAACGTATATATTTAAAATAATTATGTATTGTCTATAGAATTCTATGCGAATTCGAAAATAAAGACATTCTGAAAGCGATCTGCCTCTCGTGATTTTTTAGTGAGGTCTTCTTCTGGTATTTACTGTTTGGCTGAGCAAAGTTTTAATAGTATTGGTTGAAATAAATGCCATTTTCAAACACGGCGTGATGTAAATAAGAGAGAGAGCGAGAGAGAGACGCTGACGCATTTTGGCTCAGTGCGCTGGTGTGCAATCAATGGAATACATCACAATACTCATCAAACAAGATCCATTCAGTTTTATCATTGGAGGAAATGTTTATTAAATTAGCAATTGGCACCTTGACAAAACACTGGATATAGAAATCCTAACAATAGTAGGCTAATATAGGCTAACGTGGACATCCCTTGGCCCGTGGGGATATCACATGCCAGTTGCCTCTCCCTTCAAGGCTATGACCTGGCCGAGATATTTGATTATATTTGATATTATTGGTAAAATAACATGTGGCGCAGAACTAAAAAAAGGTCTTGTTATGACTCTCAAATCATTAATGACAAAACAAAGACTAAAACGAGGATTTATATAGGGATGGCTTTGAACAATTGAGTCAGTATGTCTGATCGTGTGAACCCCTGGTCTAGTGGTCTAAACTGTGCGCTTACGACGCAGGAACCTGGGTTCGATCCCGCGCTATGTATTTTTGTATTTATTGCATGTTATCACATTCTATGACAGATTGCTCTAAAAACGGTAAAAGATGAAGGTCAAGACGTTTTTTTTGCAGATTATAGCTTAAATGTAAAAATAATTATTTAAGACCACATGTACCCCAATTAAAATAATGTTAGTCTCTTTTTGATGTGGAACTTTTACATGTTTGTCTAAAAAATAGGGAATAAATAAAATTGAAAGGTGATATCCTCTTGAGCAAACCCTGATGTTGATACGCTGAAGAAATACGTTCCAACATCCATTCTTCCCACTCCTATTTTGGACATCAATTGCTTATTTATTTTGCATAAACTATGTATAATTACATTGCTTTTATTTTGTTTTTGTTTTTTATCTCAAATGTCCAAATAATAATAATAAAAAAACATTAATCAAAACATTCTTTCGTATTAGCACGGCTGTCATGGCAATGTGAATGGAGACGGACAAACAACTGATAAAATAATTCCCTGTGTTTGCTGCTGGATTTGGTGTGAATCTGGCAACCAGTCAGGGAGAGTGGGAGAGGACTACAAAATATTGACTATGACTGCAGTACCACTTTTGGCCAGATTTTTACATATTGTTCCTTTAAGTCATCTTTTTTTTGAGAAAAGTGAAAAGTGTGATTTTTGTCTCTTTTCGGCCCTGTATATTACTGTGAAACTTCTGGGATTCGGCTGTTGACGGTAGTTTGTTGTCCCCTCCTCCCTCCTCCACAGGAGGCTTTAACATGTAAATGACAATGCTGTGAGCTATACAAATGCTAATCAACAAGTTCTAGTGTTAAGATGTGCGAGGCGAGCCTGGCCTGACTGCGCTCTCCTCCTCCTAAAAAAAGATTAGAACGCAACAGTTTAGTTAATAATGTGTGTATAAAAATAAAAAATATTGAAATTATGACTTTAAACAAAAAGTAGTCTTCTGTTCTCTAGATGTTACAGACAAGGCCCGCATCCTCCACCACCTGAAGAAGATGACAAAGTCTGGGATCGCGTCTTAAATTCAGAGAGAAGACATGTTTTATTGTCGATGGTAGAGACAGCACGAACAACAAAATGCAAGTGTATTATACAGAGCGGAGGCATGGAGACCTCCAATCAGCAGCTTCCACGGTGCCATGTAGCTTGGCCTTCAGATAGACAAAACAAGGGAAAAGTACAGGCTTCTGCACATTGATAGAATGATGAGTTTAACTTTAACAAAAGTTGTTTAAAAGTGTTATGAAATCTCACATTCCCCCCTCTGGTCACACATTCACCTGTGACCATCAGGATCGATAAACAGCAACATAACATCATAACTCAATACTTTAAAAACTCAAACTCGGTACTTCACTCGGTACTTCAAAAAACTCAGAACTCGGAATACTTCAAAAACTCAGAAAAGGTTGTAGGATAAGCAAGATTGAGGGAATATATTAGACCCATTAGCAGTGCACATGCCTTTGCAGTATTTCCACATCCAGTCACAATCTCCTTGCTGTCGAGAACAATAGAGACATCCACAGGTTCTTCATCAGAGGAAGAACAAACGACCAGGATCTTCATTTTGTGCCGGTGTTCTGCCGAGTTGTAACGCTCTGCCAAAAAGTGACGCTTATGTAATGCTCAGCTGTTAATGATGTAATGCAAACCTGCGCGCATGCGCGTCTCACGGCAGCCGAAACAAACCAAGATGGCGGACAGAAAGTCCGTGAATTCCTTTAAAAGTTATAATACGAACGAAATAAGACACAAATGTCACTTTTAATGCAATTTGAGGCGAGATGTTGATGGTTCCGTGTTGGCACATGTGGGTTTTAAGAGTCAAACTTTCGGGTAAAGTTTAGTTTAAGCAGTCAACTGCACCTATGAAACCACTATGCTTATGTTATGATAGCAGTCCTGGCAGCTGACGTAGGCTGATGAAGCGTCCTGTGGCAACTCTACAGCTTACAACTGGATGAATGTTGATAATGGAAATAATAAATTTAATTTAATGCAGCGATCACCTGCAGCAGCACAGCTTGTGGACTGCACACTTTTCTGTCAGTTCAGTTAATAATTTTCATGGGATGAATTCGAAGTTGCAAAAAAAAAAATATGGCCATTTGGATATATAGTGCAACTTTTACTGTCAAGACTCTGCTGCAGCTGATCCATGACAACAACCACAGGATTATTATCACCAGTAACCACAGAGATTACATTCCATGGCCATGTTGTCCTTTGAAATGTAATTCATTCGTGGATTGATGAATTTTGACTAGTTTCCCAGATGAAAGATCGGGTGCATCCTTTCTATTAAAGAAATGAACAACACTGGTGAGTAACATTTAAATTGGAACCAATCAAAGGTTTTTTCATGGGTTTTATGTTAGGTTGTGCATAAAAAATGGGCTGTGGTATTGAATTGAATTTGTGTAGATTTTCCTGCTGAAGGTTGTAAAGTTCCCGCATTGATGTCAAGCTTTAAATACAAGAGAAAACACGTTTGTAGTTTTTTTGTGTGGATCAATCAAGTCTGTAGGCTGTAAACTAAGTGTATTTTTAGAAATGTAGAAATTGTATTGACTTTGATTGGTTAGGCCCAACCAGGGACAGGAGTTGTGAATTGGCATCTGCTATAAACTACATTCATCACATCAGCTGCAAGCGTTGTTTATGACTGTGTCTGCATTGTCCCTGTCAAATAAATATATTGATAATGTTGAAAGAGCGTGGAGACTTCATTTTCAGAAATCAATTCATTTGCAGGTGCAAATGGTCTCGTCGTCACACCATGAAACAGACAAAGGGACAAAACATTTCAGTACACTACGCAAACAGCAAATTACAATAATTAACATACGTGTCCAATTCCACAGGAGTCTCAGATTTGTGGAGTTGGTTAGCTGGTGCTCGGGACGACTGGGAGCCAGGTCATTCCTGCATGTGATGTGCTCAGGATACGCGAAGAGTTCACAGATCCTGAAGGCCAGTGCGTTGGCTTTCTGTCCTGGTCAGCCTCTGTAATAATATATTATTAAGTTATTGTACTGTAATGTTTGTACAGTATTATTTCTTTACCAAGTGTTGGCTTTGCGGTTTGCTTTCCTTTGTTGTACTTTGGGTTGGAACTTTGAATAAAGACTGCCCCTTTGAAGAATCTTGCCCACGTTTGACATTTTCATTCAAGTGCATTCCTGCCCAAAAAAGCCTGCAAAAAAAAGTTTCAATGTTAACAGGATTTGTATTCTTAATTATTACAAAGAATAACGCTTCAGCTGTGATGTCTGGTGCTCGGAGACGGGTTTCTGCACATCTTTAGGCAATCAGTTGTTCATTTAGCTCTTCTTTGTACAATGGGGCATACCCTGAGAAAACAATAATTTGGTTACAAGAGAAATGTTTTGACTTGCGTGTGACAATCAGTGACACTATAGTCCGCTTCAAGACTTTTTCCATGTAAAAACTCCCTCCTACCTCATTGCTCTAAGGAAACACAAAAGTTTTAATTTATAATGAAAATACAATAAATTGTAATATTTACTACTGACATACCTGTTCTGTTTGTATGTCAAGCGCCTTCTCACTCTCAAGTTCCATTGGTGTGTAGCTGTCACATTTGGCAGTGTCCTAAAAGCATTGGAAAAACGTTAGAGAGTAGATGTGTGCGACCCGGTGTGTCCGAAAACAAAGCAGGAAACTGATGCACCAACTGCACTAACTGTTTTGCCCGGTCCCTCGACAGATGAGCAAACAGAGAGTCCAAGTTCCTCAAAGTTTCCGAGTTTTTAAGACGCCCCTGAACAAGAGCGCTGACCAGAGTACCAGCGTCCCCGTCATCTCTCACACCAGGTGACAGGGAGCTGTCCGTGGTGCTGAACTCAGTCACCCCAACAAACCTATCAACTGCGCACGCTGCCTTAGCTTCGCCACCCCCCAGCTGCTCCACATCAGCCTCACGGGTATAGTATGGCTTCAACAGGTTCACGTGGCACAGTTGAGTCTTCTTCCTGCGCTCAGGCATGGAGATTACGTAGTTCTGGTCAGACTTTCGCTCCAGTACCGTATAAGGACCTGTGAACTTTGCTTGAAAAGGAGAGGTTAACATTGGACACAGGGCTAACACCTGATCCCCCGTCAAAAATGAACGCACCTCTGAGTGCCGGTCAAACAGTGCTTTCATTTTCCCCTGTGTAGCAGCCATTTTCTCCTGCACCAATGCTCTCGCTGCATACAAGCGCCTCCTAAACCCATTCACATAGTCCACAAGTTTCTTTGGCGGTTCAGGCTCCCTGAAATCGCCTGCCACTGCTGCAAGGGGACCTTTAACTGTATGCGCAAACACAAGTTCATTAGGGCTAAACCCAGTGCTCTCCTGGGTAACCTCACGGGCCCCCAACATCAACCACGGCAATCCTTCCTCCCAGTCTCCTCCCAGCTCTGTACAATAGGCACGCAGTAGAGACTTTAGAGACTGATGGAACCGCTCTAAAGCCCCCTGGCTTTCAGGATGGTATGCTGTAGACATCCTATGTCGCACCCGAAGCTGCTTTAGAACCTGGGCAAAAAGATGAGACGAGAAGTTAGTGCCCTGGTCGGATTGGATAACTTTGGGAATGCCAAACACAGAAATAAACTGTGTTAGGGCACGCACCACTGCCCTGGCAGTGATTGTTTTCAGCGGATAGGCAGCAGGATACCGCGTCAGCTGACACATTACAGTCAACAAATAACACGAACCAGCCCTAGAGCGTGGTAATGGGCCCACACAATCTATAACCAAGTGCTCAAATGGCTGAGATGTCACCCCAATTGGACTTAATGGGAATGGCTTCAACACCTGGTTGGGCTTGGCTGTAAGCTGACACACATGACATGTCTTAATATATGCTGAAACGTCCTTCTTAAGACGAGGCCAAAAAAAATGTCTCAGGACCCGGTCGTAAGTCTTAGTCACGCCAGAGTGTCCAGACTCGTCATGGGCCACCTTTAACACAGCAGAGCGAAATTTACTGGGCACAACAATTTGAAAAACAGGATCACTGGCTGGGCCAACGTGTGACCACCATTTCCTCACCAACAGTGACTCCTGAAGGAAGTACCCACACGCACTGTCCACCGCTTCACCTGTAGGGCGCACCTGCTCGAACAGGCTCTTTAGGGACACATCAGCCTGCTGCTCCAGCCCCAGCTCCCTATGAGTCAAAGCCACAGGAAAATCAGACAAGGGAAAGATAATGTTTTTCACACCTCCCTCTTCCCCAGACTGCGCCCGCGCCATGGCCCGAGTCACGGCACACGCTGTGAACACCTCCGGAAACTCCGCACTATCTCCATCGGTGTGGGGAACAACCAGTGGCCCGGAATCCGCCTCCATGGGCACAAGTGACGGAGCAGCGTCCCACAACCGAGACCCCGCCAAACTGTTACCCAAAATGACAGAAACCCCCGCTATCGGCAATGCAGGTCGTACAGCCAACGCCACTTCTCCAGAAAAGAGCTCACATTCCAGAGACACTTTGTGCAATGGAACAAACAGGATGTTCAATCCCATGCCCCGAACTGGCACACATGCCCCAGTCTCAGACTCACTGGACAATGGCAAAACATCGGCACGAATAAAAGAATCAAAAGCCCCCGTATCTCTCAATATCTTTACCCGCACTTTCTTGTCACTGCCCAGCAACGACACATAGCCCTCACGGATGAACGGAAGGTACGAGATACAAGCTTCAGACTCAACACGCTCCACCTCATGCTCATTACGCTCTTTACACCCATTACGCACCGGTACCGCTAACCCCGCGCCCTTAGGATCAGAGTGGGACCCCCCAGAGTGGGACCCCCCAGACTTATTCTTCAGCGCATAACAATTCGCCTTAATGTGTCCACGCTTCTGACAGAAGTGACAAACACGGTCCCAATCACCTGTGGTCGAGCCTTTAGCACTAACCTTTGACACATCTGGTCTAGCAGAGCCCTCCTCACGCCATACTTTAACGTTCCTCGAGCCCACAGTCTGCGCATAGTCTCTATGGGTCAGCACATACTCGTCCGCTAACACTGCGGCCTCTGTTACTTTCCCAACCCTCTGTTCGTTGAGATAAACAGCAATTTTCTCCGGAACACAGTTTCTGAACTCTTCCATCAAAATCAAATCTTTTAACTGGTCCACCGTACTAACGTGTTGTGCAGCGCACCACCTCTCAAACAATGAGATCTTCTCACGCCCAAAGTCTACGTAGGTTTGAGTGTCTAACTTTTTGTAGCGGCGAAACTTTTGCCTGTACGCCTCCGGTACCAGCTCATACGCCCTTTCGACTGCCACTTTTACCTTGCTATACTGCAAACTATCCTCCGGTGACAGCGAGGCATACGCTTCTTGCGCCCTCCCCGTGAACACACACTGAAGCAGCAGCGGCCAGACACTCTCAGGCCAGCTCAAAGTACTCGCCACACGCTCGAACAAAACAAAATACTTATCCACATCCTTCCCCGTGAATGGTGGAATTAATCTGATGCATTTGTTCACGTCAAATTCTGCTTGGGAACTACTGCTCTGGCTGATAGACAAACGAGTAGACGCCTGTCTGAAACTCGCCTCCAGCTCCAATTTACGCAGCTCAAACTCATGTTGCTGTTGGCTCTCTCTTTCCCGAAACCTAAGCTCTCTTTCCCGCTCTCTGTCCTGTATTTCTTTTTCTTGAAGTTCTAACTTTCGCATTTCCAGCTGCATCTCCATTCTCCGCATCTCCGCATCAGACACAACCACTGGAGAGAAAATGCCCTGCGCCACCAACGCTGACTGAACCTGCGTTTTAAGCACTTTCTTCACCTCCTGCTTTGACACGGAAATTTCATAGTGCGCCGCGATCGCCAACAAATCAGACTTACTACACTCATCAAGCCTCCCCACAGTGGGATCAGCCACAAAATCCTCTACCACAGACTCCATACTCATACCAAACTACACACACGCGTTAGCCATAAACAAACAAACAAACCAGACTACTACACTGCGAGTGGAAGTGTCACAACCAGTGCGCAGCAACAGGCTCACACAACCAGAATCCCCTCTATACTTTGCCTACCTATCCCAAAACTCACCTGCCTAACTGTGCCTAGCTCTTCACGTGGTTCAGCAGCGGGAATATTAAGCACGAAACCAGTGGAGCAAACAGTTCCACGGAGTGCCCCCGAGATCAATGCTCGCGCATTGAACACCAACCGCGTTCCCACGACACTATTAAAACAAAAACAAAACAGGTGAAGCCTGAAGCGGCAACACCACTTCGCCTAACAGGAGACCCAGCTGTAGACAGAAGCCATTTGCGTGCGACACAAGACAGAAAACACTTCACTCACCTGTAGTCTTGAATGAACCAATAACTTCCACGCGAAGCCGTGTCCTCACCACAACTTTACTGCACGTACACTCGCCTCCTCAGCAGCGGTGACGTCACGTCCATTCACAGATTCACAGAAAGTAGGTCAATGGATCCACTCACGCACAGCGCGCGCGTACAAACTCCGAATCCACACACACTACCACGTCTAGGGGAGATTCCAAAACACCACTGAATGACTTCCAAATATGTTTAGGACGAAGCCCCCATTTGTTACGGCCCGGCTCGTGAGACCATAACATGAGAGGGAGGACACGACAAACTGAGAAGTTTAAACCCTCTGTGGGGCATTTATTTAAACAATAATAAAGTAATCTGTATGAAATCAGTGTAAGTGAATGGTATGCTGTGGGGTGCAAGGTGTTGTATCTGAAAGTCAGTAGGACAACCGTTGTAGTGCATATATTGTGTTGTAGCGCGTGTAAATGAAAAGACAAACTGGCGTGGCGGCTGGTCCAACAGGGCCCAGAATGGTAGCGGCAGTCCGGGCACGCCGGCAGGTGCCCAGAAGCCAGGTGAGAGAGAGAGAGTGAGGGGAAGCCGCTTTTTGAAGCATCCGGGAGGTCACATGACTTCCCAGCTGCCTCCCATCATCTCTGAACGTCATATGAACACTGCCACCACAGGCCCAGCAGAGGGGGCCGTCACAAGCCGGATTCTCTTTTTCAAACACACAAAAAAGTACACTAATAATAGAGTAAAAATAGTGGCAAAAGAGCTCTTTTCGAACAAGCATGTTAAGAATGAAACCAAAAAAACATGTTTTTGTCATTCTCGGCAAAAAAAATCACTGAAAATAATCTCATAACACTTTTTCAAAAAACCAAAGTACTGGCCTTAAATGAGGGTTGGCAAAAGTGAAATTACATTTGCAGTCGCTCTTTCAACTCCTCCCCCTGGTGGTATCATAGGGAGTTGCATACAAGATTTTTTTTTCCCCCTTCAAAACTAGTTTAACCACATATTTCCAACTTATTATAGTAGTATTAGTAGTAATCTGTATTTATATACCGGCTTTTCACTGCAGATCTGAGTCTCAAAGCGGTTTACAATTGTTAATTTTGGGCATTTGTCTCTCACTCCACACAGAGATGCCACTCAGAAAGGCCCTGGTCCGACCGGGATTCGAACCTTCTTGCTGAGAGGCGAGAGTGCTATCCACTCAGCCACTGTGCCGATATATTATACATTATT